AGACAGACACACACACACACATATATATATACACAGACAGACCACACACACATATATATATATATACACAAAGACAGACACACACACATATATATATATATATATATATATATACACATACAGACACACACACACATATATATATATATACACACACAGACAGACACACACACACATATATATATATATATACAGACAGACACACACACATATATATATATATACACACAGACAGACACACACATATATATATATATATATATATATATATATATATATATATATATATATATATACTTTTCACAACAGCTCTCCTTAATTCCAGACTAGTGACAATCCTTTTCTTTCTGACATTAAATGTATTATAATGCATTTACTTTATGTGTATAATAGCCATACACTTTCATGAATGCTTGCCTGAATTCAATCACCAACTGATTACTATTTTTTAACACTTGACAAACTTCACAGGAAAGCAAGCATCTATCACCCTTTTATAATGCTTTGCCCTGAAGTCTTTCATTACTGAGAAGTCTAAAGGACATCCGGCCATTTCCTCCATATAAGGAGGATACAGTTTTGAACCCTGTCAAAAAGTATATTTTTTTTATTTTCTCTTGAATGCTCATCAAGTCAGTAGAGGTCTAAAAAAAAAAAAACAAACAAAAAAAAACAATGATGTCCACTCAAACATCTTCATCCACTAAATATAATTTTTAAAAGTAATAACAAATTGTCGTGATCTTGCAATCAAACGAAATAAAAAAAATTAAATATCTGACCAGAGCGCCATAAGAACCCATTTAAACACACACATACAAACCTACCAGACTCTATTCAAAACATACTGGTAGAAAAAAAACAAACATAATAACCCCATCCACTAGTAAAAAAAAAGATTAAAAATAGTGGAAGCCCTAATAATAAAAAAGTGAAAGCCAACTCTTAACGATATTAACTACAAACAAGGCCACAATGTGCTAACCGTGTTTGTAAAATAAAACATCTCTATAACACCCTAAAAACATACACATAAAGCACACACTCAATTAAACTGAAAAATAAAAATCCATCCTTGATAATGGCTAAAAGTGTAACCAAAAGAGCTTGGAACTATAGAACATTTGAACAGTTTCTACAGACTGTGTCCAAAAAAGAAAGCTCTTGTGCGAACACAAGAAAAATTAAATAAAAAGATGAACCATAGTACCTTGTCTGTTGTTTTTAATGAAACATGCATAAATGAAGGGTTGCTGCCTAAATACACAATATATATATATATATATGAAAAGTGTATATAAATATAAATAAATATACATATGTATAATTATTTATATATTATATGCTGCATTTTATTAGAAAGCGCCAATATCAGAGATAGAGCTAACATATTTGGTTGGATAGATTAGAGTTTATTGTTCACGCTTAGACGATGTCTGACGATCGCTAAAGCGTGAAACCCAGGGTCACAATGTCTGACGATCGCTAAAGCGTGAAACCCAGGGTCACAAACTCACATCTATCCAACCAAATATATAAGTGAACATAGAAGTCAACACATAGAGGCCACAATCTGTTTCATGCTAGATGCAATCATCAGGCCTAACGATTGCATCTAGCATGAAACAGACTGTCACCTCTCAGTGTTGACTTCTATGTTCACTTTTATATTTATACATGCACTATCTCTGATATTGAGCACTTTATCCCATAAATATAGCACATCTTAAGACTATATTTCTTCATATATATAAACAGGGTGTGATGGGTAAATTGTTGCAATTTTATATTTTTGATGTTGTGCATACATGTTTGTTTTTGATTATTTTGACTGCACAGTAGAGTAGGTTCAGTTGGGTGCCATTTATGAAAAAAAAAGCGCCATTATGCAATTCACGCCACCAGAAATTTGTTACCGTAATATACAAGCTAATTCTCATTTTATTATTTACTAAATTAATCTTAATTAAATAATGAAAGAAATTCTATAACCATTGTTAGATTTTGACCAATATATAATTATTCATTTCTCTGTTGTTATGGCTCACTATTGGTTTAGGGTTGATACAAAGTAAGTAGAAGGATCTTATCTCTTTGCAATGAATTCATCTACTCATTTCTAATGGGAGATACTTTCTTTCATTCCTCATCAGCTTTAGCTTTGTAGCAAACTTGTAATCAAGAGAAATGAAAAAAAAAATCTAATTTCTTATGATGCCATAGTAGAAAGGAAAGCATCCTACTGGCAGGAAATTTAGAGTAATCCTTTTTTTTCAGTGACTTCTCACCAAGAGAGCATGTGGATTTGAGTCGCTCCAGGAATAAAGACCACAGATAAATTTTACACAAATATCACTTTCTCATGTTTGATAATAACCATTTAATGATTGACTTATCACTTGCAAATAATTTATTCATTCACCATGACAAAACAAAACAAAACATTTAACAACCAAATTACAAGAACCTTCTTATATCTATTGAACAAGTAGAACCAAACCTTTCTGATAAATAAATCCTTTTATATATAAATAAATGTCTCACTTTGTTTTTATGATGTGTATTATATATATATATATTTTTACTAACCAAAAACCAGAGTCAAATAAGGCCCATCATAACAAAATAAGATCAGATTCTAAATAAAATGCATCCAGCAGCCGCCTCCATTGACCAATTATGTAATGACACAGGATGTTAGTCTAATGACTTTTTGACCTTGATGTAGGACCATGACGATGGGTGTGATAGACTCATGTATATCCGAGGTAGCTCAAATAAATAAAAAGTAAATAAAATCCAATAATTCCTTAGAAATATGTTAGATGCTCAATTAGCTGACAAGAGATAATAGTTGCTGTTTGGTGCTATCTTGTATCTGTTATGTAATTTCTTGTTTATTTGTTTATTAGAGTGCATAGATTTTCCCTACCTGATTCAGGGATTGAATCCATCAGGTAATTGAAACACTTTTTAATTGATATTTATATCCACTGGATCACCATCCTGGAAGACCTGTTTAATGATATGTAAATTACTGCCTAATTAGCATAGCTAAGGCATAGAGATTATATAAGTGTGCAAACAGTAACAGAATGTGAGTCTTGAGAATTTAACTTGCAAGATTCCAATTATCATATCTTGTTTACCATTTTTCAGTTATGTTTCTATCTTCAGACAGAGTGCAACCAGCAAAAATGAAAGTGAGCCCATATCAGGAAACCACTGCCACTGTTCTGGGGAATGAGCTATTTTTGAACCTGACCCAGGGGCATGCACTCAGGCTCCCTACATTAACGTTCATTACTCTGTATGTGATATCATTTAATGTACAAAAAGTTTATTCTGCCACTGAAGGTGATTCTGATACCTGAACAATAGTGTGTTTGAGTTTTATAGTTGTGTTGTCATATCCTGCTATGGCAACAGAAAACAACTTTGAGTGTGTTGCGGACTGGTGATTGGGTTTAAATTGATCAGAAGGAATTTTGAGGCAGTGTTCTATGACATTCGTCCACAACAATTATTTACAACAAATACTTGGAACAAATCATGCAAATAAAGTTGAAAACAAGACAAAAGTTGAATGCATAACAATAACATCAATTTATATACAATTTATACAAATATTCAAAGTTGTTCAAAGTTGCATACCTTTATCTGCTTGAGAAAAATGGATTGTTAGTTACTGATACTTGTTATGTAGTGAGAAATATCACTTTGAAAAGTATAGTAAGTGAATTTTGAGGAAATGTTCTAGAGAGAGATAGAGTGTGCTCGAAGGTTACTGAGTCAGTGAATATTTTAATGCGGCAAAGTCAGAGTTTTGACTGGCGTGGCGTTGATGGGCATCTCTCTAGGTGTGGAGGTCTGACTGTCTAAAGTTGGTAATTGCCTTTGACATCTGGTCAGCAATGACTAAGACGGGAGTCGGTGAAGGTTACATCTTGAAACTTGGTAATTACTACTCCGAAGGTTCACACGTTTTCGGTTTATATAATCACTGAGTGGCTCCCAGCATACAAGCGGGAAAACAGATTGGTCGCGTGCAGGTGGTTTGATTAGTCGGAACTGACCAATCAGCAAGCCAGATTGGAGGTGATTGACCAATGAATACTTGTTATATTGTCTGAAAGTAGAATTTGGCTTACCAGATAGGAAGAGTGCATTTCCTACAAAGAGGTAAGGCTGGTTGTGTCGTGGGAGATTCTATAAGTGAAATTAACAATAAGGATATTGCCACTGAGAGGACAGTGCCAAAGGTTAAACTGACCATTTGTTGCATCCTGCCTACATGAGGTGGCAAGTAAATATCGAATATGATACACAAAATTAACAACTAATGCTCTGGACTGAGAAAAATATGATGGATATCACATTTCATAATAACATCAGTTGTAATAAATTGAGAGCCTTTTAAAGCCATTTTAATGTCAGATGGTTTTGATATTTATTATCATATCAGGTTTTTAATGATCTGATAATTTCTGTACAACTTCTAAAATGAGAAATTGTCATTATTAAGGTTGAATAAATCAATATATAATAATGAAAGTTACTTATGTCAGTACAACTTCTCTAAAAAAAAAAAATGAAGTAAATAGGTAGTAAGAGAAGTTGGTCTTATGATAATAGATAATAAAAAGTTTTGCAATTGACACTGCAGATTAAATAACATCACTTTCTTACAATGAGGACTGAAAATTAACTTACCTCACTATCTGCCAGAATTTTATACGAAAATTGTCTGTTTTGTTACATGGGAAATTCTATTAAAAGCTACAAACATTTTTTGTTGCAAGCATGCCCAAGGTTCCATTTGTAAGTTAATAGCAATAGTTTTCAAAAAAAAGGTTGAAAACTTGACAGCAGTGGAAATACATATGAAATTCTTTTTTTTTTGTTTTTAAAAAAATGTCTTAAACATGGCCTTTTGTCTTAGTCTTTGCTTTTTTTTTCTTTTAGATACTACAGAAAGTCTAGGGGACAAAAGGATGTTCTTAATCAACACTGAGCTTTGTGATGGGGGTCTTAAGAGAAGAAGAAAGAGAAGAAGAAAAAGTAAAGAAAGAAGAGAAGAAGAAAAAGTAAAGAAAGAAGAGAAGAAGAAAAAGAAGAGAAGAGAAGAACAAAGAAGAGAAGAGAAGAAGAAAAAAAAGAAGAGAAAGAAAAAGAAAGAAAAAAGAAGAGAAGAGAAGAAACAAAAGGAGAGAAGAGAAGAAGAAAAAGAAGAAAAGAAGAAGAGAAGAACAAAAAAAGAGAAAGAGAAGAATAAAAAGGAGAGAAGAGAAGAACAAAAAGGAGAGAAGAGAAGAAGAAAAAGAAGAGAAGAGAAGAACAAAAAGGAGAGAAGAGAAGAACAAAAAGAAGAGAAGAGAAGAAGAAAAAGAAGAGAAGAGAAGAACAAAAAGGAGAGAAGAGAAGAACAAAAAGAAGAGAAGAGAAGAACAAAAAGAAGAGAAAAGAAGAAAAGAAGAAAAAAAAAAAGAAGAAAGAACAAAAAGGAGAGAAGAGAAGAAAAAAAAAGGAGAGAAGAGAAGAACAAAAGAAGAGAAGAGAAGAAACAAAAAGAGAGAAGAGAAGAACAAAAAAGAGAAGAGAAGAACAAGAAGAAGAAAAAGAAGAGAAGAAAGAAAAAAGGAGAGAAGAGAAAAGAACAAAAGAAGAACAAAAAAAGGAGAAGAGAAAACAAAAAGGAGAAAGAGAAGAAAAAAAAGAAGAGAAGAGAAGAACAAAAAGGAGAGAAGAAGAAAAAAAAAGAAGAAGAGAAGAACAAAAAGAGAAGAGAGAAGAGAAGAAAGAAAAGAAGAGAAGAGAAGAAGAAAAGAGAAGAGAAGAAAAAAAAGAAGAAAGAAGAAAAAAGAAGAAGAAAGAACAAAAAGGAGAGAAGAGAAGAACAAAAAAGAAGAGAAGAGAAGAACAAAAAAAGAGAAGAACAAAAAGAGAGAAGAAGAAAAGAAGAGAAGAGAAGAAGAAAAAAGAAAGAGAAGAGAAGAAGAAAAGAAGAGAAGAGAAGAAGAAAAGAAAGAAGAGAAGAAGAAAGAAAACAAAAAAGAAGAGAAAGAGAAGAAAGAAAAAAGAGAGAAGAGAAGAACAAAAGAAGAGAAGAGAAGAACAAAAGGAAAGAAGAGAAGAGAAGAAAAAAAGGAGAGAAGAAAGAACAAAAAAGAAGAGAAGAGAAGAAAGAAAAAGAAGAGAAGAGAAAGAAGAAAAAAGGAGAGAAGAGAAGAACAAAAAAAAAGAGAAGAACAAAAGAAGAGAAGAAAGAAGAAAAAAAAGAGAGAAAAAGAAGAAAGAAAGAAGAAGAGAAGAGAAGAGAAGAACAAAAAGGAGAGAAGAGAAGAACAAAAAGGAGAGAAGAGAAGAAGAAAAAGAAGAGAAGAGAAGAACAAAAAGGAGAGAAGAGAAGAACAAAAAGAAGAGAAGAGAAGAACAAAAAGGAGAGAAGAGAAGAACAAAAAGAAGAGAAGAGAAGAACAAAAAGGAGAGAAGAGAAGAACAAAAAGGAGAGAAGAGAAGAACAAAAAGAAGAGAAGAGAAGAACAAAAAGGAGAAGAGAAGAAACAAAAAAGGAGAGAGGAGAAGAACAAAAGAAGAGAAGAGAAGAACAAAAAAGAAGAGAAGAGAAGAAGAAAAAAGAAGAGAAGAGAAGAACAAAAGGAGAAGAAGAGAAGAAAAAAGAAGAGAAGAGAAGAACAAAAGGAGAGAAGAGAAGAACAAAAGAAGAGAAGAGAAGAACAAAAAAAGAAGAGAAGAGAAGAAACAAAAAGAAGAGAAGAGAAGAACAAAAGAAGAGAAGAGAAGAACAAAAAGAAGAGAAGAAGAAAAGAAGAACAAAAAGGAGAGAAGAGAAGAACAAAAAGAGAGAAGAGAAGAAAAAAGAAGAAGAACAAAAGGAGAGAAGAAGAAAAAAGAAGAGAAGAGAAGAACAAAAAGAAGAGAAGAGAAGAAGAAAAAAAAGAAAGAGAAGAAAAGAAGAAAGAGAAGAACAAAAGAGAAGAGAAAAGAAAAAAGAAGAGAAGAGAAGAACAAAAGAAGAAGAGAAGAAAGAAAAAAAAGGAGAGAAGAGAAGAACAAAAGAAGAAGAAGAGAAGAACAAAAGAAAAGAAGAGAAGAACAAAAGAAGAGAGAAGAGAAGAACAAAAAGGAGAGAAGAGAAGAACAAAAGAAGAGAAGAACAAAAAGAAGAGAAGAAGAAGAAAAGGAGAGAAGAGAAGAAGAAAAGAAGAGAAGAGAAGAAGAAAAGAAGAGAAGAGAAGAAAAAAAGGAGAGAAGAGAAGAACAAAAGAAGAGAAGAGAAAGAACAAAAAGAAGAGAAGAGAAGAACAAAAAAAAGAGAAGAGAAGAACAAAAGAAGAGAAGAGAAGAACAAAAAAGGAGAGAAGAGAAGAAGAAAAAAGAAGAAGAAAGAGAAGAACAAAAAAGGAGAGAAGAGAAGAAGAAAAAGAAGAAGAAGAGAAGAGAACAAAAAGAAAAGAAGAGAAGAAGAAGAAAAAAGAAGAGAAGAGAAGAACAAAAAGAAGAGAAGAGAAGAACAAAAAGGAGAGAAGAGAAGAACAAAAAAAGAGAAGAGAAGAAGAAAAGAAAAAAAAGAAAAAAGAAGAGAAGAAAGAAAAAAAAAAGAGAAGAGAAAGAACAAAAAAGAAGAGAAGAGAAGAAAAAAAGAAGAGAAGAGAAGAACAAAAAGAAGAGAAGAACAAAAGAAGAGAAGAGAAGAAAAAAGGAGAGAAGAAGAAAAGAAAAAGAAGAAAAAGAAGAACAAAAAGAAGAAAGAGAAGAAAAGAAAAGAAGAGAAGAGAAGAAGAAAAGAAGAAGAAGAACAAAAAGGAGAAGAAAAAAGAAGAGAAGAGAAGAAGAAAAAAGAAGAGAAGAGAAGAAGAAAAAGGAGAGAAGAGAAGAAGAAAAAAAGAAGAGAAGAGAAGAACAAAAGGAGAGAAGAGAAGAAGAAAAAAAGAGAAGAGAAGAACAAAAAGAAGAGAAGAAGAAAAGAAAAAAAAAGAAGAGAAGAGAAGAACAAAAAGAAGAGAAGAGAAGAACAAAAGAAGAGAAGAGAAGAAACAAAAAAGAGAAGAGAAGAGAAGAAGAAAAAAGAAGAGAAGAGAAGAAAGAAAAAAAAGAGAAGAGAAGAACAAAAAAGGAGAAAAGAGAAGAACAAAAAGAAGAGAAGAGAAGAAAAAAAAAGGAGAGAAGAGAAGAAAAAAAAGAGAAGAGAAGAACAAAAAGGAGAGAAGAGAAGAACAAAAAGAGAAGAACAAAAGAAGAGAAGAAGAAAAGAAGAGAAGAGAAGAACAAAAAGAAGAGAAGAAAGAAAAAGAAAGAAGAAGAAGAGAAGAGAAGAAAAAAGGAGAGAAGAGAAGAACAAAAAGAAGAGAAGAGAAGAACAAAAAGAAGAGAAGAGAAGAAGAAAAACAAAAAGAAGAGAAGAGAAGAACAAAAAGAAGAGAAGAGAAGAACAAAAAGGAGAGAAGAAGAAAAAGAAGAGAAGAGAAGAAGAAAAAGAAGAGAAGAGAAGAACAAAAAGAAGAGAAGAGAAGAACAAAAAGAAGAGAAGAGAAGAAGAAAAGAGAAGAACAAAAGAAGAGAAGAGAAAACAAAAAGAAGAGAAGAGAAGAACAAAAAGGAGAGAAGAGAAGAACAAAAAAGGAGAGAAGAGAAGAACAAAAGAAGAAGAAGAGAAGAACAAAAGGAGAGAAGAACAAAAAGAAGAAAAGAAAGAGAAGAGAAGAACAAAAAAAAGAAGAGAAGAGAAGAACAAAAGAAGAGAAGAGAAGAGAAGAACAAAAAGAAGAGAAGAGAAGAACAAAAAAGGAGAGAAGAGAAAGAACAAAAAGAAGAGAAGAGAAGAACAAAAGAAGAAGAGAAGAAAGAAAGGAAGAAGAGAAGAACAAAAGAAGAGAAGAGAAGAACAAAAAGAAGAGAAGAGAAGAAGAAAAGAAGAGAAGAGAAGAACAAAAAGGAGAGAAGAGAAGAAGAGAAGAAAAAGAAGAAAGAGAAGAACAAAAAGGAGAGAAGAGAAGAACAAAAGAAGAGAAGAGAAGAACAAAAGGAGAGAAGAAGAAAAAAAAAAGAGAGAAGAGAAGAACAAAAAAAGAGAAGAGAAGAACAAAAAAGGAAGAGAAAAGAAAAGAAGAAAAGAAGAAAGAAAAGAAGAAAAGAAAAAGAAGAGAAGAGAAGAACAAAAAGAAGAGAAGAGAAGAACAAAAAGGAGAGAAGAGAAGAACAAAAAGAAGAGAAGAGAAGAACAAAAAGGAGAGAAGAGAAGAAGAAAAAGAAGAGAAGAGAAGAACAAAGAAGAGAAGAGAAGAAGAAAAAGAACAAAAACAAAAGAAGAGAAGAGAAGAACAAAAAGAAGAGAAGAGAAGAACAAAGAGAAGAAAGAACAAAAAAGGAGAGAAGAGAAGAACAAAAAGAAGAGAAGAGAAGAACAAAAGGAGAGAAGAGAAGAAGAGAAGAAGAAAAGAAGAGAAGAGAAGAACAAAAAGAAGAAGAAGAGAAGAAAAAAAGGAGAGAAGAGAAGAAGAAAAAGAAGAGAAGAGAAGAGAAGAAAAAAGAAGAGAAGAGAAGAACAAAAAGGAGAGAAGAGAAGAAGAAGAAAGAAAGAACAAAAAGAAGAAGAGAAGAACAAAAAAGAAGAGAAGAACAAAAAAGAGAGAAGAGAAGAACAAAAAAAAAGAGAAGAGAGAAGAGAAGAAAAAAAGAAGAGAAGAGAAGAACAAAAGGAGAGAAGAGAAGAACAAAAGAAGAGAAGAGAAGAACAAAAAGGAGAGAAGAGAAGAAGAAAAAGAAGAACAAAAAAGGAGAGAAGAGAAGAACAAAAGAAGAGAAGAGAAGAACAAAAAGGAGAGAAGAGAAGAAGAAGAAAAGAAGAGAAGAGAAGAACAAAAAGGAGAGAAGAGAAGAACAAAAAGAAGAGAAGAGAAGAACAAAAAGAAGAGAAGAGAAAAACAGAATGAAGAAATAAGAAAAAGAGGAGAAGAAAAGAACAGAAGAAAAGGAAAGAAGAAAAGAAAAGAAGATAAAGAGAAGAAAGATAAAGAGGAAAAGAAAGATAAAGAAAAGAAAGAAAAAGAGATGTAAAAAAAAGAAGAGACGAAAAGAGATGACAAAGAGTTAGGAAAGATAAAACACATTGTGATAAGGGGAGTCAATAGAGTCTTGGATTGTGGAATTGGAGTGCCAAGTTCAAATTCCAGTTGAGCTCGTTACATTTACTTTCATGAAAATATCTTTAGGAGAGGTATGAATTCATTTCTTCTCTCCCCAGCTATGGGGTAACTAGCAGGACAGACTAGATCCTATAGCCTTTGGTGGCTCTAGGAACACAACTCTAAATTCCTTGATGACCATATTTTTCTGAAGGGATCTTGTAAATCATGGGTGCCTAGATGTTTTTTTTTTTGTTTTTTTCTTATGGCACTTTGATCTGATAAATGACATGTGAGGCATCTACTGAAGGAGGTAGTATATGCCCAATATAGGTAATTGATTTATGAAAAGAAATACATATATATTATATAAGAAAAAGAGAGAGAATATTAAGACATAAATTGTTGAGAGATGAACAAGAAAAAACTGGAGTAAAAAAAAATGCAAGATGCATGAGATGCACAAAAGTAAGAGAAAATATGAAATAAAATTAAATGCAATATGTGCATGAGCAGATAAATTTGGGGGAACGAATTTACAAATCTAAATGTTTCTGAAGATCATTTTCTGTAATTCCCCATGTTTAACACACATTTTTTTTGAAAAAATAATAAGCAAAATTAGGTGTACATATCATGCACAGCTACAAAAAAAAATCTTTAAAAAATTGTCATAAAATAAAAAAAGAATTATCATAAAACTAAATTAGAATAATATTATTCTATGTTTAAAAATCATTTTTTTAAAATAAGAGTAGGAAACGCTGGCTGTAATGAAATTGGGGAGGTACAATATATAGGGTTTGATTACCAAACAAGAGGTGCATATTATACACGAGTAGAAGCATTTTTCCACACTTTCAGCACCATTTTATGAGTGTGTATTATGGATGAAGGCATATTAAACATAGGAAATTACGGTAAACTAAATCTAAATTTCAAGTCAATTAATCATAGATTTGAAAATGAATTCTCTAAGATTATCTTAACAACTTGGAATGTTTTTTTTTTTTTTTACAGGATTTACCACTAGGTGGCATTCTCATTTGAATATTTTAGTGAAATATATGTCTCTGAAATTTAAATGGATTATCAGATCATTGAAGTATCTTTCCAGCAGCATTGAAACAAAATTCTTGCTTTCATTATGATCTATAAAGATTCTTGACTCCTTGTTTTATTCAAAGCCAGAATAAAAAAAATCAGCACTAAGGTATTTTCACCTTTCAAGGCAGGGTTTGGCTTTGTTTTCTTGCCTTTTAGCAGGGCATGGCAGAAAAGCAGATGTGTCAAGTACCTAAAGATTCCGATATGAGAGAAATGCCTTGATATTGCCCAGAAGGGAGGATAGTTGGTTACACTGGCACCTTTGCTGCACAGCCAATTATTTCCACTACTCACATGTATACATAAAGCTGATTTTGTATTGTATTAAACCTAGTGGGGAGTTAAATATATAAAAGTCATTCCAAAATTGTTAAACTAACATGGATGAGTGAAACAATAAGATACCACCATATAAATGAGCATATTATAAGACAGCTGTATTACAAGCTTATTATGAGACACTGCTATATTACCAGAACATTATGGGGCACTGTCATATTACCAGAACATTATGGGGCACTGCCATATTATGAGCCTATTATAGGACACTACCATATTACAAGCATATTATGAGATGCCATTATATTACAAGCATATTATGAGACAGTGTCGTATTATGAGTAGATTATGGAATACAGCCATATTATAAACCTATTTTGAGACTTTACAATATTAAGAAAAAATTTTGGCCACATCATTTATTTTTATTATTATAATATGCTGTTAATTTCTATCAATTTTTACTCAAATGTGTAATGAGAATTGTCATTTTTTATACTTACTGCTTAGTCAGATGACATGGGTATCAAAATACATGAAATGGAATATTTAGGTCATTGCAAATTGATTTATTTCAATTAAATTAATAACAAAATCAACAAAATTATTAATATAATATCTACATCAAATTCAAAAGGTTAGTGTATTTTTGGAATTTTGTGTTTTTAGACTCTACTAATTGACTGTTATTGTCATGGAATTAATGAAGCTAGACATCATAAGTTTCAAAGGCAGACATCAAAATATTTCTTGTAAACTTCAACATTTTAATCAGTCATATTCAATATAAATGATATAATCAAATTACTTTATGGTTCTCAAAGCAATATCTAATGATAATAATGAAAAACATTCAGTTGCATATTGATCCATTCAAATTAATTTCCTTGTCTTTGTTGCTTTTCTTCACATTGTTTTCAACATTATATCCTCTGGCCTTTCTTAGCTGTGCGTTGTATTTTCCAATGTCAAGCCTTGATTTGGATTTCCACTCCTATAATTATCATGTCTGGCACCGTTCCTTGTGAGTTCTTTGAAGTATTCCTTCCACAGAGCCTATACCTTACTTAATAGTATTTCAACACACATGCACCATATTCTGAACTCTTATCTGGCCATATATGAATCGTGGGGATGCAAGGTCTTAGATAATGAGTATAATACCAAAACTGTAGGCAACCAACCACAACTAGTACCTCTCTCATTACATGAAATTGGAAATGGTCAAAGATAATCCCTGATAACTGCCAATTTAGTACTAAGCTTAAATTCATGGAAGGTACTAAATAGGAAAGCTTATTTGAACAGTTGCATGAAAATATTCATAGAAAAGTTACAGTGAAGCTTACTCACATCAATAGATGCTTGAAGAAGGTGTGGGGTTTAATGGCTGAAATGCTTTGATAAAAACAACAAAGATGAGGACATCAGTCTGAATGCAAATAGTTTTTCTATTTTAATTTTCTGATGAATCAACTTGTGGAAATTCCCTATTGCATTATTAAATATTTCAGCTTAACAAATTTAATAAAATATTACAATAACAATCATAAATATGAATGCAGGTTATTAATTAAAGAAGTAAGAGGGTACAAATAAAAAGATAAAAAATGACAAGATTTTCAATTTTAATAAAGCAGATGTCAAATACATGAGAGTGTTATCACTTCCTCTATCTTCCCTTTCTTTTCCCTAAAAGCAAACAGCGCCTTTGATATATATCTTCTCCTATATGCCAAGTCATTTCAGGATGAGAATAAATGTAGCTCTTCACAGTTTCCTGTTCTTCATAGCAATGTTTGTATTTATATTATCATTTCCCTTTCTGGTTCAGTCAACACACGCTTGTTAGGTAGGTGACTTGATGCTTTCCTCTGTTCCTTTTGCCTTCTGTAAGTCCTGTGAGTGTCAAATTTTCCTGGCCCTTTTTCTCATAAAATGCCCCAGAAATTTCAGCTGCCTTTTTCTGATTTTAAGTATAATTGTCCTTTTAGTTTCCATTTTCCTTAAAAATTATTCACTGCTTACATGCTCTGTCCATGGCATTCTCAGCATCCTTCTAAAAGGAAAATTACATGACCTCCTAGACAAGGTAGTAAAGGAAAGTGGGAAGAAAGGACTAACCATCAAGCGTAAGAGAAGAAAATATGTGGCTGTCAACAAGAGAGAAGGCCCAAGATGCTAGCTATGAATTGGAGATTTCAAAATCAAGCAAATACACAAGTTTAAATATCTGGGAAGTGTTTTAACAGATGATGGAAAATGTGAAAGTGTAACCCAAAACACATTGGAATAGCAAAAGATATCTTTCCAAAGTCAAACAGAGTATTATGAAACAAGAAATTTTCATTAGAAACAAAGAAAGAATGCTGAACTGCAATGTAATACCAACCCTTGTACATAGTAGTGAATACAGACAGTTTCTGCAGAAATGATGAGAAGACTTTAGGAAGCAAGAGAGTACATTAGTCAGTTATGTGCCATGTGTGATACATGCTTAGGTGATCATGTATCTTTCAAGACATGACTGGCAGTAGGTTGCCATTTCTTTCTGTGGTAAACTAGTTGCCATCCAAGGCTATAGAACCCAGTTTGTCCCGCTATTTACCCATAGCTGGAGGGAGAAGAAGAGAATTCATACCTTTCCCAAGGGTATTAGTATGTCAGTCAGTTATGTGCCATGCTTGATAGGCGATCATGTATCTTTTGAGACATGACTAACAAGGCAGTAGGTTGCCATTTCATTCTGCAGTAGACCATATATATATATATATATATGTATATAGTATATATATATATATATATATATATATATATATTCTATTGTAATGGACTCTCCCACAGATAATAAGTAGTAGTAGCAGTGGCCAGTTCGCCTCAGTGGTGTTGAGCGAGTCAGTCGATATCTGACATTGAAGTACCAACCATCACAACTAGATTTGCCGCGCCATTAACTCTTATTTCCAAGTTCCTAATGTTTTGTAATGCTGAACCTAATTTAGGGCGACTTATTGAAATACAAGCTTCCACTGGGAAAACTACTTACAACACCCCTCGAACTCAACGTATGAGGTTCAAGCAGATGAGTTCCTAGGAAACCGACAGCCCGAAATAAACAGCACTTGAGAATTGATTATAGTGTTGAAGGTTTCGTATGGATCATCCACACTTTTTGAAGAGCCGAATACAGAGACCTGGTGCACTGTGAACCCTGGAGTGTTGACTCCACAAGTTTTGAATTCAGGGTTATCCTTCTCCTAGACCGGTTGCCATCCAAGCCTATAGAACCTGGTCTGTCCTGCTATTTACCCATAGCTGGAGGGAGAAGAAGAGGATTCATACTTTTCCCAGGGGTATCAGCATGTCAGTCAGTCAGTCAGCTATGTGCCATGCATGATTGGCAATCATGAATCTTATGAGACATGACTAACAAGGCAGTAGGTTGCCACTTCGTTCTGCAGTAGACCAGTTGCCATCCAAGCCTATAGAACCTGGTCTGTCCTGCTATTTACCCATAGATGGGTGGGGATGGAGAAAAGAGGATCCATACCTTTCCCAAGGGTATTAGCATGAAAGTGAATATAATGGATTCAACTGGA